CGCTTCAAAATAACAGCGGAAATCGAGATAACAAAACATATGTTTTGTGTCCTACTTTGCAGACGAGGACGTGTATCGGCGTTTTGAAAAGCATAATTATGTTCTTTCATTCATTGCCATGGAATATGCGTTTACATTGTTTTTTCACTGTTAATAGCTCGGTTAATGCGGCTGGCGATCATCTTGCCGGCGGAAGTTTCATGGAAAAGGAATAAGATCAAGACTTTTCCTCAAAAACACGTGTTCAGCCTCTGTGGTGTAGTGGTTAGGGGTAGTCGCGTCGAGCCGAAGGTGCAGGGTTCGAGTCCTACCGAGTTCTTTATTCCTTCTTTCTTTTTTTTCCGTTTTTTGTGTTGTTGTTTTCTATAAATATATGGCTAAATAACTGTTACTTAATAAAGTGCAACAAACAGCAAGAAAAGTGTTGTGTTTCCAAAGAAAATATCGTGCACCGTATATCAAATATATGGATAAACAATCTGAATTTCTATTATTTCTTACAATTTACTGTGGGAAAACCAGAGTTATAACCACTTGATCATTTTCTAAACAACGTTCCCACGAGTTCTTTCTATAGACTGATAGTAAATATTCTAGTACTTTCCAACATGTAAATGGGACATTCAATGTGATTTTCGATTCTTTTAAGTCTCACTGCCTAACTAATGCCAGTATCAACAGAATGTGCCGCAGCATTACTATCTTTTAGATACCCTAGTTTAATATGTATTTTACCACGCGAAATACGTTTCTTATCCCTGATGATTCTGTTATAGGCGAAAGCTTGGAATTTAATTTTTATTTTTAATTTCAACAGTCAAAGGCCACAGTTGAACTTTATTTTACTCTCTAAGGTTTATAGTTTTGATATAATGGAATTTTCCTTGAAAATTAAGTGCTAACTTGCACAAATTTATCAACAAAGCTTCAAGCCATGTTGATAGGATGTGCCAAAGTTATTGTTTCAAAGTTGGGTGCCATCCTTTTCTATAGCAGAATCCACGATAAACCTCTAAAATTATGTAACAAATCGCGAAGATCTCAAAAGACACATTCCACAAAAGATAAACGAATTCGCCTCGTTGGGACTTGCCGGAAGGTACCCCTAGTTTAGTTTATAGTTCTAACTGTTGAGTCTGTGGACGAAACCCTGCGGTGTGACCATTCCAATGAAACCTCTTCAGCACTACTTTCACATACAATTTGCTTTTGTCCAATTCTTCCTTTGGTCACTTTTTGTTAGTAACAGGGTTAATTGTTAGATGATTATTAGACAGTGTTCTCTTGGAAATATAAAACCCGCTCGCTGTAGAATTGAAAGGAGACAGACTAAAAACGATTGCTGCTCCTACAAATTTCCAACTTTCGTAACCTTTCCTCAGTTGGATGCGGTGTAGGAAAGAAATAGACGGGCGGGACGGAGTTTCTCACGTTAGACTACTTATTTGGAAAAAAAAAACACTAAAAACAACGAAGTTTGGTCTACTTTCCAGTTAGAGGGTGAATTAATGTAATATCTTTCTTTTGTTTTCTAGAGGCCATTTTGTATTATTAACAGTCTGAGTAACTTCATAACTGCGGAGTAGTTTGAACAAGGTAGCTGCAGCTTAAAACAATACCTGGCACAATCCTCAACCTGATACTTCCCTAGCCTGTCTAGCAAGCGTTTCCGCACAGGTTCATTCAGAAAGCTACGAAAGAAGGCGAGCAAGTCAGGTACAGTATAGGATTAAGCGAGTTGACCATTCTGGTCTGTTTGGTGATAGGACTTGGTGTCTGTAATACGCGTCTTAAAATAAATACCAGTGATTAATTTGATCAGACGATCACATAGCCGGAGTCCGATTTTTTCCACCACACTATGATCAAGGAGAGAATTGGACGACGCGACGTTGTTTCCAATTAATCATAGTTAAAACACGATTTGACATAATTTTAACTTTCCTTTCAACCACTAGAACTCCCGAGAAACGTCTTTAAGTACTAGTGTACACGATACACTATGTACCAGTGTTTTTTTTCTCGCTTGCAGCGATTGTGTCTAAAGTGTAATAATCTAAAAAATTACAGCATAAAGAGAGCATGCCCTCAAGTACCGCTACTACTAAATAAAAGGCCTATTTAAGAGGTAGGTTGCAGCTGTTGGAGCGGGGAGGCTATAAATTCTTTAGCGAGGGGATAGTTATATTTCAAGTTTTCTTTTGACGTTATAGAATCGAAGAAGTTGAGACTGCCTTAGTGACATGAATGTTTTTTCCCTATAAAAAACAGAGTCACAAGGAATCTAATACCTTGGAGGAAAAATCATTTACTGTTTTTCTACTTAGTCTTCGAGATCTCCAGTTTTACTGATCCATGTGTAAACACTCCTTTTTTGAGTCAAGAATGAAAAAAGCAGTGGATGCCATCGCAGTTGTTGCTATCTATTGGCTGCTTGACGATAAGGAGGGCTTTATTAGGCGCAGTACCTTATCAAAAATGCAGAGGCTACAGGATTCTCCACAATTGCAACGAGCCAGCCAGCTCAGAGCCAATTGACGTAAGACGCCATTTATAAGTATACAAAATGAAGCACTTTAACAGATTGACAGAATTTATTAGAAACAATTTTATCTGGAGTTTTGAAGACCTGTAACCCGGAAACTGCAGCTCAAAATTGATTGGAATCGGGTGAGGCAAAAGAGAGTTTGTTACGTTTGCTAAGCACGAAAATTCCACCACAGAAGGAAATTATAAAAGAAGGGGAAAACGAGAAGAGCGAGGGGAAAGGAAAGAACAGGGGAATAGAATGGTAAATTCGAGACTTGTTGAGACCCTGGCTTCAAAGTCCGAGCCTGAGACCTTACTTCTTAAAAATCCGAGCCGAGACAATTTCGCGCGAGATAATGGTGCAAATAAAGCTAAATAAAACGACCAAAAAGGCTAATGGAAGCTAGCTAGATAAGCCCACCAATATACTGCTTTCAGTTCGATAAGCTGTACCCATAAACTCTGAAAAATTCTTCTCCTGAATACTAAACGGAAAGAAAAACGACAAATACGCGATTCCAAGACCCGTCGGCAAAATACAACAACAACAATAACAAAAATTGGGACTGGCGAGACGCAAAAATCACCCGAAAACGAGACTTGAGACCCATCAAAAGCGAGTTCCGAGATTCTAGATCGGGCCAAAATTTTCCGAGATCCACATTTTTTGAGGTATCATTCTTCACCCCAGAAAGGGGACACGAGAAAGAAAGCAATATTCGCGTTCTTAATTGTTTCTAGTGAGCAGTTATGGATAAAGTAAGGATAACACTTCGCAGTCAATCATTTTACTTGTGCTTTATTTTCTGCTGACCTGATCTGCATTACAATGATATCACGGTCAGTGCAAGGAAAACGTTTCTTGCTCACACTTTGTTTAAACATGCAACAGCATGCTCATCCAGTTGAATTTCTCCAGTAGTACGGGTCAGTCCTCACCAGGCGATGCTCCACATAGTGGCTTTCCGTTGGCAACTTGACAGCCTTTTTATGCTCTGTGCAGAAAAAATATATACATATTGTGTTGTAACGCAAGTCCATTTTAAACTTAAAGAATGCCACCCACGTGAAGTTCTCAAAGCCCAGGGTAAATGCTCTTAACCGATCGCTGAAAGTTCGGTTTGACCAAAAGGTCCAAAATAAACCAGTTACTCGTGTAACCTGTTCCAGGCGTTTATAGATAATGGGTGGAGTGTGCGCTATTTTTCCTGCTCACGTTTGCACCGTCCCCGCAATCTGCAGGGGCACCCAACTACTGTTTTCTGTAAAATGTCTGTTCGGAGAAGCAAATTTTGACTAGAATTTTCTATTGCTTGAATACGGCTAAAAATTTCAAGATGTGTGTTCCATTCAGGTACAATTTTCGAAGCTTATCTAAAAAATTCCCTGCGATTTTCTGGAGTTTAATTTTTCTTATTTTACCACTTGTGTTAGGCTAATTTTCGTAGAAAAAGGAAACCTAAAATTTTCGGATTCAAAAATTTGATGGAGAGAGGAAAGGGAAAAATTCTCACATTCGTGAAACTTTCAAGTGCATCTAAAATTTTCGGGAAAATATCACTGAAGCCCTTGTAATTTCGAAAAGCCTCCAGTTCTCCTAGGATGACCAAACAGATATAAATTTTATAGCGCCGCCTAGAAGGCATTTCTAGAGATCTAAAAGTACTCTGGATAGCCTAAAAAGACTTTCAATGCACTTCGGAGGAAACCGTCGTTGGGTACCCCTGAATTAGACTTTCTCAAAGTCGTTCGCGTGGTTTTCTGGTCTGGTGTGGTAGGATCCGCTTTTCACCATGCAAGGTGATTGGATGGCAAAAGTTCTTTTTCTCATACAAATGCTTCTAACTTTCGGCGGCCGTTGCAATCGCTACTTTTGAGATATACTGTACCGTCGCACTTTGTAATAATCGTCGCACTTTGTAATACCTGTCGCACTTTGTAATAAAATTGTCACACTTTGTAATACCTGTCGCACTTTGTAATAACACTTGTCGCACTTTGTAATAAAAAAGCTGTCGCACTTTGTAATAACAGACCATCGCACTTTGTAATAAAAAAAGCTGTCACACTTTGTAATAACACTTGTCGCACTTTGTAATAAACTTGAAATAGATGGTCGGAGGACAAATAAACCCAGTAATAAGGGTCATCATCGACAACAACAACAACGACAATAATAATAATAAGTGTTCACATCAACTTCTGGCTTCAAGATCTTTCTAGGGAAGTACAACTCTTTATATGCGGACGACCTCGATAGAGAGAAAGTGTCTACGCCTATGACAGGGAGAGTCGTTTAAAATGGGAGTTTGTGTTGGAATTTCATTTAATTGATTGTTAGTAAAAGTAATTAAAGGTGTCCTTCAGGCGAAATGTGATCGTTTAAGCAAAATATTTTTAAAGTTTTACTACTAGCACAGGCAACTAGAAAACCTATGATTTGGTTACCTGCGAGGTATTACTTGAGACATATACAGAGATATTACTTGATTTGTATTTATTACTATGAATAAGCTATACTGTATTTCATAAAACCAAATGAAAATCACAAACTCAGAGCACAACCCGGTGCCACAATCATTGTCATCATCATCATTATTGTCACTATTATTTTCGCACCAAAATGTTCTTTAAAACATTGCATATCACGTCATTGTGCCACGATGACCACTACTAATGAATGTTGTGGAAATTTCGAATACGCTGGAACCTACATGAAACGGCATCATTGTGATAAATACACAAAACCAGTGTTAGATCTGGATATAGCTAAAGGCTACGCGCTGTGCACAGCTGAACATTGTTCTCTGAGATCGCGTAAACCTAAACTTTACGAAGATATTAAAAGCAGATACCCTACGATTACAGCAGCTATGGAAAAATTGTTATATTTTTGAGTAGACAAATCTCATAAACGGGCCACAAATTCAACAGGAATACGCGCGAACTGAACAAATTGTCTGCTGTACATTTAAAAGGTTCTGCTCAACTTGCACAATTTTCCCTTGCTGAACATAAACTGTACCAAGCCGTATCTTGGTTCGCTATATATAAGCTATATCATGGTTCAAATATTAAACTGTAAGATCCCTGAAAGAGTTCTTCTCAATGGAGCAATATGTAAAAGGTTTTCAAAGGTTTCTCGCCGGTGAAGATGTGCGGCCTGTCACCTCTTGCAAGTTTTTACTTTATTATTATTATTATTATTATTATTATTATTATTATTATTATTATTATTATTATCATTATTATTGTCGTTGTTGTTGTTGTCGATGATGACACTGATTACTGGGTTTACTTGTCCTCCGACTATCTATTTCAAGTTTATTACAAAGTGCGACAAGTGTTATTACAAAGTGCGACAGGTATTACAAAGTGTGACAATTTTATTACAAAGTGCGACAGGTATTACAAAGTGCGACGATTATTACAAAGTGCGACAGTACATATACGGCTGAAAATTCTCAGGTTACCTAATTTTAATATGCTTTTTCAGCTTGTGCAACAAAGTTTTTCAAAAGCGAACTGTTTTCGTGTTTACCGAAAGTTGATCACGTGATCAAATCATGCAAAGTGCCTATTATTCCTGAAATTCGAGGTTAATCAAGAAACCGTCTGGGACGTCAACTAATGAGTTTTACTATGGCAAAGTTTGTTTTACATTCTGTTGAACTTAGTTTAGGCCTTTTACTAAAGCCCAAGTGTGACAACAAAAGATAACGTCAGAGCAAGTTTGGATCGTGATCGCGCTTTAGTTTAAAGTGACGTTTTCTTCACCGCCGACGTCGTGGTGTCTTACACTGTTCTCTAATATTATTACTTCGAGAAAGAAACTTAAAACATACTTGTATAACGTATAGAACTGACAACGGTGATTTTTCCCATCTTTCAGCGAGAGGAACATGGTAACATCCCCTTTCAATATCCCCACGCTCCCAGTCATTTTTTGGACGGACGGCTCCCAATTAGTTGTCTTCTTCTGCATCACTGGTCCATTAGCAGGAAAGTTGGTTCAAAGTAAACAACTTTCAAGATGCTACATAAATTTTACGCATGAACTCACCTGTCAAATTTTAACCAATCAGAGCGTAAAATTGGACGTGGAGCGTGACCAACACGTGACCATGGTAAGAAAAGGTCTTCCCCGCCTGTCTTTTTAAAAAACTGGCTGAATTTTTTGCGTCTGAGGTCAGTTTGAAATCAAAATCGTAATTTTGCGGTGCGATACTGACATAAACACAACATATTGAATATGAATTTAAAATCGATCATTTGAAAACGAGTGAATTGTCAGCGGATAACTTCAAAAAATACTCGACCTCATTGGGTCGACACCTGAGCCCGCGATACGGCCAGGTGATACTGGTCAGCGGATACCCTGTTTTGACAGCTGTCAATTGATGACAACATTGATGTGCAATCAGCTTTCCCCTGGACTCCCAAAGTAGCTAGAAAGTGCGAGAGTAAACATTGGTATGCCTGTGGTGCAGACGGACGGTCGGTCGGTCGCTGGGTCGGTCGGTCACGTGATTACCAAGTTTTCTGGGATGGTTAGATTTATTTACTCATGGTGCTCCGCAGACGCGCTTCGCGCGCGAGCTCCGCCAACAAGTTTTTAACTCTATTTAAATTCCTTGAATTTTCACTTAGGACATGAAAACTCATAGGACATTCCACATTAGGCTGATTTAGCAAGAGAGGGAACGTCAGTTGACAAGTCAACGGCGCGCCAAATCAAACAACTGGCTTGACCAATGGCAGAGCGGTAAATTGGGTACCGGAAGTCGTGTTTAGCCATTTCCGCGCTCTTTCCGGTCGCCAACCGACGTTCCCGTCCTGTCGCTAAATCCGCCTATTATCAGGCTCCTGGAGATAAAAGCCCAGCAGTGTGAGCTGCAACCTCGCTTCAAAAAACAGTATTCCATGCCGGTATTTTCTCGAGTCCGGTGGTAGCTCATTTTCCCAGCTGCTAATTAATTGGGACACCTAAATTGAAATTCAGTTGATCGATCAATTTTAGCAAAACTGATAAGCCACTATCATGTCAAAAAGGATGAAACCAGGGTCATCCTTTTATGGTAATAATTTGTAAGGCACTATTAGGTGCAAAATTTATGAAAATTTTAAAGGGCCCGAACTTCTCCCCTCTAATGCTAAATTAATTCTTTTTGCAACATTCACCCATATGTTTTTGCCACCCGCTTTGCTTTTGTCATAGAAAGAAGTCAAATAATGGTGTTCCCGGAAGGAATTCACATCAATGTCTATTACCTTAATACCACTCGCTTCCCGTAGCTTGCGTAAAAGGCGTTTCGAAAGCGTTTGGGGCGGGGGTGGGGAGGGCGCTCAGCGTTCTCACATCCTCTTCTGCAGATTTTGTTTGGACACCAACCTTTTCTAAACTAGCGTCTGGGAGGACTCTTTTAGCATGGCGGCCAGTGTATATAAAAGGCGTTTCGAAAGCGTTTGGGGCGGGGGTGGGAGGGCACTCAGCGTTCTCACATCCTCTTCTGCAGATTTTGTTTGACACCAACCTTTTCTAAACTAGCGTCTGGGAGGACTCTTTTTAGCATGGCGGCCAGTGTATATAACGCAGTATCGCTTCCGTGCACCGATGATGCGGTTAGCAAGGCTGTTGGAGGGTTTAAATTTTTAGGGAGGGATGGTTTTACTTTATTTTATTTTTTTTATTATTGCTATAGAAGAAGTTGAGATTGCCTTTGTGACATGAATTTTTCTTTCCTATATTATATGAGTCAAGAAAAGAGTCATAAGAAATCATTTACCTTGAAGTTTATAAGTAGAAAAACATTAAAAACTGATCTCATTTCAAGAGAAAAAATATCAAGAAATAAATTTTAAAATTTTTTGTTCTTTATATTTTTCTCTCGCTTTTCTTGCCGTAAAGATCATTTTACTGTTTTTCTACTTGGTTGGTATTCGAGGCCTACACACTGATCCGGCTGTCCCACTTCACTAGTCTGTTGCTGTGGTCTTCAGTGTCTTTATAAATATTTTTGGGTAATGTTGTCTCTTTTTAGAGCTAAGAATAAAAATAAGCGATAGATGCACTCGTAGCGTTAAGTTTTCTAAACTGCAGGCTACAGGATTCTCTGCAAAGCGCCGTTCTAGCTGAAGTTTAGAAAACATAGATCCCGGAAATCGCAGCTACAAGTTGAGGACCAAAACGCGGTGAGTTTGGTGACGTTTAGAAGAAGCATAAAATAAAATACAGAACGAAAAGAAGGGGGAAATGAGAAGATCGAGGGGGTGGAAACAAGGACACGAGAAAAAAGTAATATTCGCGTTCATATTTGTTTCAGTAGCGAGCAGTTATGGTTGAGTAAAGATAACACTTCGCAGTAAATCATTTCACTCGTGCTTTATTTTCTGCTGACCTGATCTCCATTATAATGATATCAGGGTCAGTACAAAAGGAAAACGATTCTAGCTCACACGGTGTTTAAACGTGCAACAGCATGCTCATCCAGTTGAACTTCTACAGCAGTAAGGTCAGTCCTCACCAGGCGATGCTCCACATAGTGGCTTTCCGTCGGCAATTGACAGCCTTTTTGCTCTGTGCAGAAAAAATATATATTGTGTTGTAACACAATTCCATTTTAAACCTAGAGAATGCCACCCACATGAAGTACTCAAAGCCTAGGGTGAATACTCTGGAACGATCGTTGAAAGTTGGGTTTGACCAAAATATAAACCAGTTACTCGTGTAACCTGCAGTTCCAGGCGTTTAGATAATCATTTTTTCCTGCTCACTTTTAATTTGCACTGTCCCCAAAATCTGAGGGCCTGGAACGTTGAGAGCGTAACTAGATGTAGTTAACCAAAGTATCAAAAAGCTAAAAAGGTAAACCTGAGTAATGAAACAATGAACGCGTGAAGTCACTTTTTAAGTGACGTTTGCTCGCCACCGACGTCGTGGTATCTTAAACTGTTCTCTAATATTGTTACTTTGAGAAAGAAACTCAAAAACATACTTGTATAACGTATGGAACTGGCAACGGTGCTTTTTCCGATCTTTTCAAAGAGAGGAACATGGTAACATCTCCCTTCAATATCCCCTCGCTCACAGTCATTTTCTCGACGGAAGGCTCCCAATTAGTTGTTCTTTTTGCATCACTGGTCCATCAGCAGGAAAATTCATCCCAGTGAAAGTGGACTTGTGGATAAAGCAATTGCGTTTACTGTCAAGGCTATCGAAGTAAAAGGAACTTATGAGACAGTAACAAAATTTATTTTTGTATTATTTTTATTATTATTGTTATCAATATTGTTATATTTTTATAATTAATTAGTTAATTTAAATTTTAAGCGTCTTTGATCGTAAAATTAGTAAATTTATACCTTATATCCACATTGGCTATGCAAGATCCGCCATCTTCAAACTGAAGACTTTGTTCCCACGTGTATCCATCAGGAAATGATGGCTTGAAATAGTCAACGATTCCTTTAGGATAATCAGTGAAGGCTCTGTTACCATAGCAAAACACAGATGACAATATGTCAAAGGAGAATGGGAGGGTCCACCCTTGGTTACTCGCAGTTTTAAAGTCTGTTTTCCTCTACAAAAAATGAAAACAACAAACACAAAAACGAATTAAACAAAATATGAAAAGCAGAGAGGAGCCTTTTGAGAACTAGGCTAAACACTGCCCATTTACCAGTGTAATTTAACTAAATAGCGGGAAAGGTTTAGGACAGCCTGCTATATACTTTAGTTTCATTTCGTTTCTCCAATGCTAATTCGCGCCAGTCGACAAGGGTTTATTATTGGCAAGTCCTATTGCGAAAAAATACCTCTTTCATAATACTTAACTACACCCCAAAGCATTTAACACTGTTGAAAAGGTTTATTTTAATGTAATAAGTTTTCATTTGTTTCCTTTTCAGAAAAAAAAAAAAAAAACTAATCCGTCCGGAAATAAACGGTCAGGTCATCACTGTGGCAGAATCACCGTTGAGATAATAGTATCATGATGATATAAATGACGTTTGATCCTGATAGTATCAGCAAAAAATTAACGATCGTCGTCGCCTATTGCTAAATACCAACGTGTTTCATCATATCCGTGTCAAATTTACCATTCAAAGGAAAGTCGTTATTAATTTCTGGTGATGATCAGTAAAACCACTTTCACTTCATAGAACTTTCTATTGCACCAAAGGCCATAATACTTTTTTGGCATGATCGAGTTTTCATAATCTTTCGCTTTATACTCAGTACAGCTGATTTAAAATAATTTGAGAATTTGACTTTGCAACGTAAAAATATTCCCAAGTTGATGACTAGCTTTATTCTCTTAAATGAACTTAATGACTGGTGTAGTTATAATTAAATATCAACCCTGCTCGCGCCTTCAACCAATACGCGCTAACAGTGATCAGCATCAAATTTCTGCTTGTAATATCAATGCTTTGTAAAACGGACACGGTCATGCGAATCACGGAAATGATCATACAAGATGAATTTGCTTGATATTTTATCAATTTCTCCTTACTACCTCTGTTAGAAATGAATAAGGGCAACAAATGAGAATTCAAATTTTGATCTCAGGGCCTAGTAAAGGGTTAATAGAGCCTCCAGTGGCTCGGTGGTTCAAGAGCATCCGAACTAGAACTCAGAGGGTCGTGAGTTCGATTCTCACCTGGAGCTCGAATTGTTTCTGAGCTTTCTGTGTTAGAAATCTCGTTCTCCGACTGATAACAGTGAAGAGCTATTGCACTTAACATGTACATGACCTAAAGATGAAGGGAGTTGTATTGATCGACTTACTCGTACGGTTTCCCGCTGCCTTCACCCTCGATTGTAAAGAAATGCCCATCGACAGATCCTTCCATGTGGTATGTCATCGCCATGTCATCTTTGATAACCTGCATTAAAAAGTACACCAAAATAAATTCGCATAAACGCAAGTGTGGCTTGCAAAGTTAATTAAAGATTAGGAAGCTTGACACCGTTCAGGTTTGTAAAATTCCAAATATAGGTGCAAAAGCAAAGCTATTCAGAGAGTATCCATCTAGAATGATTTTACTTAAGCCGTGAAATAGATAGACTACTACGAACTATAATACCCTCTAATTGTATTGTTTTTCTTTGTTTACCTGTAACTATTTGGCACTAATTGTGACTCACACTGTTTCACGGGTTTAGTAAAAGCACTCTAAAAAAAAAATCAATTGATTTTCGATTCAACATTTATATCACGTTCGCCAATTAATAATTTTGAAGATTTTTGTTTTATTTTACGCGAGAATCAAAAAACCATAACCTATAGCACGACTAAATTGCAAAATTGCAAATTGCAACTATTTCAAGTTGCATCAGATTTCACTAATCGATAAAGTTAACTTTGAGTAAAGTATTATATCCACTACAAACTTAAAGCTTTTTGTCGGGACAGAATTATACTATAGTGATTTTAGGACTGGAAGGATGAGGTTTGTCTCAGTCTGTTTTGAGATTTTTAACCTCTTTTTTGCTGTTCTGCGTGATTATTAATCTTAGAGTTTTATTCCAAACGAAAGAAAGAAATTGTTCTATGTTCTAAGCTTCCTTTGTAAAAAAAAGTTCGGAAAATTACACAGCCTGATCTTTCATCCAATATCTGATTGTTGGCATTATGGAAATGTTTTATAACTACCGCTGGGGTGTAGCATGGTAGTATGCTATGAAATGCTGCTACGTTAACATTTGCCAAAGTAGATTCAACTTCCTCAAAATCTTAGCTTAGAGTTGAAAACTCTCTTCCATAAATATTAGAAAAGGGCAGGCGTAACATAAAACAATACAGCTTTGTCTTTCTTGCATTAAGTGAGTTTGGGGAATGCAATTAGGGAGTTGTCTGGTAGTATGCTATGAAATGCGGCTACGTTTGTCCTTATTGCCAGAGTAGATTCGACTTAAGGTTGAAAATTCACTTACTTGCTTTGAAAGAGCCATGTTGAGAAGAAATTGCTGCTTTTTTAAAACAGTACTCAAAAGTCCGGTTAAGCTGTTGTAGTTCACTCCGTCACCGACTAAGCTGAACTGACTTCTGTGGCTGAGGGTAGATCAATTTTAAGGCCAAATCGAACCAAAATACACACCTTGATTGACGCATTAAAACAGGTTAGACTGGATCTTGACAGGTTGGTCTGGATAAACGGGACAAATAAGTCTTTGTTCTTTACTAACGGGTTCACGTGATGTCAGTGTGCATGTACTTTTCCACAGCCTTTCCTAACTAAACTTGGCTGTTCATTAATTTCGACTTTTACAGAATAGTGAGCTCTGAGGATGATTTTACAAATTTTGACATTAACAGCAGTTAACAACATTAACAACATTAACAACATTAACAACAGATTTAATATCAGTGCTTCTCTGTGCCATCTTGATACGATTTGACGTCAAAAAACACCGCCAAAAAGAGCTTACAAACAAACAAATTAAAAAAGTGAATGTTGAACATCCATCAGAAACTATTAAGGTGCAGTTAAGCAATTTTATCAATTTGGAAGGCAAAAAATCTGAAGAGTTGGAGGGCGACAAGTAAGCTATCAAGTACAGCTACGAGGTTTTTGCAGAAAAAGCCGCTGTTGGTCCTAAACTTAATTAGGGTCGGGATTAATCGAGTGTGTCAATTCAAGCTCTTCTAGTAACTGTTCACTGCCTCACTGATTGACCTAACCTGAAGCGATTAAAGTATCAATATGTTAGGCAAATTGGGAAAAGAAAATTATATTCCTGACCTTTTTCAGTTAATAAAACAAGTGAAGATCAGTGAAAGGCTTCTAATATAGCTTTTCTTGAGTTGTGAATTCCGCTTTGATTTGCGCTTGACATGTAGAAGAATCTTTTAATATAAATTAAACAAGCTTTGTTTTAATGCTCGGGTAAGTCATCTCCAGATAAAATATATTTGTTAACGATAGAGGGCTGTATTGAGGAAGGTAACAAGATCGTTCCCAGGGTTGACGACTGGTTGGGGAGGTAATAGAAGTATGCTTTAAAACGACTGCTGATCGTGGCCCGTGTGGTGATTAGATAGGAGAAGAGCATTAAGCTCGTTATCAGCTTGTCATGCAGAGCATGAAGGGCGGCTTATAACTTAAAAAGAGCTATCAAGAAGATGTGAACAGTCCAACTAGAGACTTTTTTTAGTGTAGGTAAGAATGGTGAGATTGAAAGCATTTCCTAAATTACTGTAGAACTGACCTGTATTTTGAGCGGTCACTTATATTCTGAAGCAGTCGCGCCTCGGTCACCATTTCCGTGATCCCAACAAGTTATTTTTTATTATCCCCAGTGTCTTTAACGGTCACCTTGTCAAGATGAACCACACAAGTGCAATAGAAACAATGTGCACGGCAGCATTTACTAGTCTTTAAGCACCTTTGCTTTGGCGTAAGAAGAGGTAAAAACACCAGTTGTGGACCCTTTGCCCGGTCAACTTGTCCAGGGCACCCAACGGGAAATTTTGAGAAAAAGACCTAAAAACAACAACAAAGCGTGAATAAAGTTTTCTGAGACTATTTTAAGCATTTTGGGAGATTGCTGAAAAAAATTATCTGTTCCTCACTCCCAGCAAGACTGATGGAAGAGTTCCCAGCCAGCTACCTTACAACCTGCAACCTAACTTACTGGGAAGTTTCATAGGGCACAATTCAGATCTTGAGTGGTAAGTAACTCATACAAGTAACCCTGTAGCAGCTATTCCAGACTTCAAATCCCTCTGACACCCTGAATTATCTTTTCCCAGCAACACTTTCCTTCCAAGGACTATTATTTCTTTCACATCTCCCAGCCAGCAAAATGTACCTGAAGAACAGATATTTTGAGGAACAGATCCATTGGGTGCCCCTGACTTGTCGTGCTATGGATATTTCACTATGTCACCATCTTTATTTTCTTGATAAGTTCTAAGTTTGTCAAACCTGTATTAAAGGTCAACATGTATTAAGCAGTCATTCAGCCATTCCCCAATTAATACATGTTTGACTGTTATCAGTTGTTATTCTTAGACTAATAACCGTACGTTTGTAAAGGAATCAGCGTGAGCTCTAAGTTAATGTAATGATCGAGTAAAATGATAATTTTAAAGCGAACGTTTTGCATTTACTTCAAACCATCTTTGTTTTATTTCTTGGCATTGATATCATTGTTTAATACAGTTGATAATTGGGATATCTCTTGGGTTAGTCAAGGATACATTATTTTATTATTAAGGAAAAGAAAAGGGGTGAGTTCCTTAAGTAATGTATGTCGTTCTTGCTTGTGACAGCTGTAATGAGAATTCACTCCGTTTAAGACTACCTCACACATGCACTTTTTACTTGATTTCAAAAACAAAATGAATCACATCAGAACTCATCAGGACAGGTTAGAGGGTAACAAAATGGCTGTCTGATTACCCAGACCCCGGGCCAGACCCTAAGAAGGGGAATGGAGAGTTTGTAAAATGATTCTTTTTTAATGACTGAAGATAAATTATCACAGAAACCTTGTCCTTGGAATAATGGAATAATCACTTACTAGATGAGGTTGTGAATAATGCCCTTTGGGTAATAAAATTGCGATTTTAATTCCTTCTTCAAGAGAATAATAATTTGTCTCAGTTTGACTAGAATAAGGAACAAGGAAATTTTCGTTTAGAGTAACGAAAACACCCTATTATTCCTCATTCGGCCTTTTGTATAGCATTTTGCCACTGGCAAGCTTATTTTTTTTTTAAAGTTAGACATTAAGAGCGTGCCCTGAAGCACAACCACAAAAGACAAAAAGGCCAATTATCTATAAGGCGTCTTTTCAAAATTCTTGAGGTGATTCATTTTCAAATTAAGTCGGTAAATTTGTCTGTCTCTGATCAATTAATATCTTCAAAAGAATCTAAAAGCAGAGGCGGTTGCTAAAGAGAAATGATTATAATAGCCATGGGGGGCTATTGGGGGCTGATTGCCTAAATTGTTAGGAAGGAGCCGTTTAGAATGTAACCATAGCGAACCCACGCTTTATCGTAAACCGCAAATGGAAATTAAATAAGAGATAAAATCTTTACCTGTTTTGTTTTATTCTGAATATGCTGTGGTGCGAAGTGAAATGAAGTTGTTTACGATGCGAAAAACTTCATGTTCAAGTCGACTTTTAACCGTTGTTGATTTCACAATGCTTGTTAAAGAGTCGACTTGAACATAGATTTCGCATCGTAAAACAACTTCCATTTTACTGCACCAAAGCAGATTCAAGAATAGAACAAAACAGGTAAGATTTTATCTCTTTATTTAATTTCCGTTTGCAGTTAATAAGAGCGCGGGTTCGGCTTATGATGTAACGGATTCAGTATTAAGCGTCTGAACAGGGTATCCGTGCGGACGAAGTTTTGAACGTCGCACATTTTCCCTGGTCAAATCTGCAAATGAAATCGTCGGTTTTTTTAACGAAACAGTCTCTTATATATCAAAAATTGTTTTGTGGAGGTTATAGAAGTAACAACAACGACGACAAAAGAAACTATAAATGATAAACAGTAAAATTAACATGAAAAACATACCATCAATTTTATTAAATTTTTTTTTTGCTGTCATCGCACGAGTTATCTTTAGTTATCTCTGACATGTCACCCTCGACCTCGGTAGCATTGCGATCATTCCTAAGGTCGCCATTTCAACAAATGCAAGAGCGATCGACATAATTTCGTTCATTGGCCGGGCCATTCACAGGTTGATTACTATGACTAGGAGAAAAACTAGTTTACCCAAAGTGAGTTTTTGTTGCTGTTGTTGACGGAAATATTAATTAAACTAAAGTGGGCAACTGATTACAATGAAAAACTATCAGTAATTAACTGATTTTGCCAAGTATTAAAAAAATTTATGCATGGACAAAACTAATATGTGTTTCCTGAGTCTTTGACTCATTGATAACAACTGCCGTGAATTTGTTTTTCTGCAGAGCCTCTAAATGTATCGACTAATTTCTGTTAAGGAAATCTTTACATTTTTTAAGTACTTTTTTATATAATTCTTTCGTGTCGCTTTTGAGAAACTTTTTTCGCGGAGGCCACAGGGTAAAGATCTGATTCAGAAACAACTCTTGTAAAGCGAAAGGAGAAGTTTCTTTCCTTGGAGCAGCTGAAATCATTTCTTTGTAATCTTCTACTACTGGGAAGTAGCCATTGTTTAACGGTCTTAATTTGTCCAGGATGATTAATTTCAAAGTTAATTACGTATTAGGGACTGTCTGTTAATTGCTTCTTCAAAGAGATTGTCAAAATTTGTTAGTTTTAAGACTCATCAATAAAATGATTGATATTAATAAACCCATTGGGAGTCCGGGGAAGGAGATAATCTCTTATATAAGCCATAGATATTATGTGGCCCCAAAGGGTTACAATGGTTTTTGCTTTGGGCCTTTTGGTCGGAAAACGGGTGTACACTTTGCCCATTTTGGTTTGGAATCCGGGTATGGTTTTCGAGGGAACTACGGGAGTGTATGAACGTATCTATTGTTTCAATTCCAAACCAATACGAGAAATAGAAATATGCGAATTGAAATGCATTTGAAGAATTGTTTTGTTTGCTATAATTTCGCCTCAAGGCCGGGTCTGAAAAACGGGTATGGATTTTTTGAGGTTTAGGGCTCGTTTTCGAAAAGTCCTGATAATTAACGGGCCCGTAAAGCTGTTTGGATTTACGAAAGATAGATGTTTGTCAATAGTTTGATATTAACATGATAACTGATTATCAGCTGATTATCAGTTAACGAAACAAAATAGGGTAGCTTTTGCTAGCCAGGCCCCGTATTCTTATCCTTTATATTTCGATTTAAATATTTGATTTCGGGCCCGAAAAGTTACTACGGACTTTCGAGAAAATGGGCTGTTCCGAAAAAGGGTATGAAAATGACTTTTTGGTCTGAAACAAGGTCGATTTGAGAACAGGGTACCCACTCCCCGGGAAAAAAGGCTATTATATG